CTACTACTACTACTACTACTACTACTACTACTACTACTACTACTACTACTACTTGTGAGCGTCCCTACCAGCCTTTTGCATTTTGTCTTTGCATGTTTGTATAGTTGTTTCACTATGCTTGTTTTGGCTCAAGTGGGCAAAGTGCTCATTAAGCTGTTGTGCACGGAGGTAGGCACTAAGCAGCCTCCAGCACTGTCTCACCGACTGCTGAACTCACGAGCAAGAAACAGTTAGGCTGCTGTGTTTGGATAGACTCCCAAGACCAGTTAGCCTTGCTCGCAGTTGGGGGCTGTTCTGGGAAGGGCAGCGGTCTGTGAGAGACGCGCCATGAGCAAGGAAGTTGCTGGAGAAGCTGAGGGCGTGACCCTATCGGAATGCATAGCGGATGGTCGCGTCCCGGTGCCAGACAAGATGACCTTCCCGAAGTGGCAAGTTTGGCGACGGAAGGAAGGCAAGCGCCCAGTCAGGAAAAGAGATGGGCGCGGGATGAGAACAGATGAGGAGGTGGCTTTGTGGAAGGCCATCATGGCAGAGTACTACGGTGAAGAGGATAGCGAGGAGGACGACGATGAGGAAGATGAGGAGTCTTTTGAGCTCGAAATCGTTCGGGGTCCTGCCGTAGTAGCGCCTGAGCGCGCGGCTGCAAGTAAGGCGGCGCCGCTGATGTTGCCACTGTTGCCACGGACCGGAGGTTCGGGTCCTCGCCCGTCCTCAGCTGGGACTGGGGCAGCTGATGTTGATGAGCTGCTGAAGCAGCTGCATCAGTTGTTCCGGCCGGATCAGGAGGATATGGGAGCGCTTCTGGCTAGAGTCACATGGTCATGGCCTTGAAAATTTGGGGCATGATGTCAAGACTGAGGACCTGGATCGAGTCACGCTGAAGGCCGAGACTATCCTGGAAGCCTATGATCGGGTTGGAACTTGGGCCTGGTTCGGACCTTGCGGGATCAGTTCGCCTTTGTGGCGCTAGATTCGAACTTGTCCGATGAAGACAAGACCTTGAAGGCGGAAGTCCTGGGGCATGTCATCCTACGAGGAGGATCAGAAGTTATAACTATAGTTATATCTAAGTTAGCGTTAACTATGTTAACTTAAGTTATATAAGTTAGCCCTAAGTTCATATCTTCCCTAACTTCCACCGGCTTGTTTTTTCAAGGTTTTCTAGTTTTCTCGTTATTCAAGGTAATCGAACACTTTTGCATCCGCGATCAGCCCATTTCATGTCTAAAACAAGCAAGTGACTTTGTCACCGGCCCATGACCACCATACAGGCATTTGCAAAGAGCCGCTCAGGTCGATTTGGCGCAAAGTGCGCTTGCAGGTCCGCTCCCGCTCGAAGATGGCTCCATATGTCTCGCGAGAGGTCAGACGCAGGTTCACGTATTCAATGAAGGGCGCAGCGTCGCGGCAGACGGCGCCTGTCATCATGCCAGCGCGAGCGCCGACATCCAAGAGGAGTATATCTCCTTTGCGCACATTTGTGGACCAGATCCGCACGCCGTCTGATTGTTGCGAGCCGCGCAAGTCTGGCGCCGACACAACTGGCGTATGTAATTTCCATGGTGTCAGATCGCTCCCGTCAAACTGCATCAGTGGCAGTGAGCTGAGCACATTGGACGCGTAGACACTGGGATTGTGCACGTGGTGTGCCTCGCGGTCGCCACATCCACCAGACTTGAAGGTTCTATGCTTGGACTCATGTCTTTCACAGTATGGCATGAACTTGAGCATCATGGCCCACTCAGCCAAGTGCAGACGCCAATGATGCTTCGGCCTGCAGGCTTCCGCTGAATAACAGCGCACAAAGCATTGTTGGCGCACGTGTGACCAAGCATCCAGTTCTTTCACTTCCTGCCAATCTGCAATGGGAGCCCAGCGAAACCTCAAAGCCAGGCACTCGAACGAACGAGTGGCGTCCGGGCAAACCCCGCGCGGGCGCACGAACTTGTCCAGGTAGTAGTTCAGCAAAGGCACCACTATCGAAGTTGCCCACGCCTCACCTTTGAACTGTTCTGCGTGCCAGGCGTGCTCACTCCAGAGTTCTCCAAAGAGGGACGGACCTTTGTGGCCACTTGACCAAGGTCTTTGCCACATGGCTTCCAAACAACAGAGCTTGAGGGCATGGTGCGTCATCTGCGGTAGGGCGGCGTTTATAGCCTGCCAGAGAAGCGCCAACTCAAAATTCGCGCAGCCGTTCACAAAATAGAGGTGCATGCAATCTACTGCTGCTTGGCTTGGCGGCAGCAGTTCCCTTGCCACAGGGTCCATCAACACGCCACGCAACGTTTTGCGTAGGCCACAAGACTTCTCAAAGGCCTGGATCGCCTTTTTGCCCTCTATGACCTTGAGCGCGTCGGCTTGCGCGAAGATCTCCCGGTCTGTGAGAGGGAGAAATTTTTCTTTTCTCCACTCAGAGATCTCGCAAAACAGGTCGTCGTCGACTCTGCTGTGCGCCTTAAGAACATTGCTGCAAAGCATGCATGGCCGAATCCCGCCGGCACCTTTCAGGTCAAAAGTTCCACGGAGAGCGTCGCCGTCCAGCAGGACCTTCCAGTGGGCCGCAAGGTGGATGGTCTGCTTCAAGCCGGTGACTCTGCTCCCGTGGAAATTTTGCCAGTGCTTGACCGCCGCAGCGATCGCGCAGCCAATGCCTTCTATTTGGTTCAGCTCCTCTTTTGGTAGCACTGCCACCGGCAGCCATGCCGCGGTGTCTCCGAAGAGAGGCAAGAATATGTCAAACGTCAGGTAGAACAAGGAGCATTTTTTAAGCTTCTGCAGAGACAGGATGTTGCCTGCCTGCGCTTCGTCGTGGTAAAGCACAGGCTGCAACAACGTGTTTTCTCCCCAGAGGTCTGCCAGCTGCAGCGCACGGTCCAGCATATGGCGCAGCAAATTTGGCAAATTTGCCACGAGCAACACCGCGTCCCTGCGACCAGGCCTGCCTGGAAGAGTCAGTGTGTCAAAACACTGGCGTAGCGGTGCTTTCTCCCTCTGCAAAGTTCTTTGGCACGTAGACCAGGATATTTTCCTTTTCTTCTGATCATGGAAAATGTTCCAAAGTTTGTGCATGGTGCGAACACTCACGCCAGGTACTTTGGCCGCTTCCATGAGTTTTTCCCGGTCGTCCTCCCGCAACCTGCACCTCTTGCTGAGCACCATGGGTGGTCTGTATATAGGCGTCGAAACCCCGCGCACCTATATACATCTATATCCCCCTGCGTGAGCCATGCAACGGTCGCGCAGTCCAGCCACACAACCCCGCGCCCCCCCCCCCCCCCTAAAAAAAGAAACGTATCTTTTTCCTATATAAATGCCTGATCCGAGGTGATTCCCTCATAGTGGCCCGATTAGACCGATCGTGCTGTCTAGGCGGTAGACTGCGCTGATCAACAGACCCACATTGTCCATACAGAACAGAATATCTGTGCTGATGCGCCGCAGCTGATAGTCAGTGGGACCGCTCAAGATGATCAGGTCATGGACCACGTTCATGGCGTCGCGCAACAAGCGATCCAAGTCTCGTTTCTTCTGCTCCTCCAAGAAGAACATGGCGCGCCATGACTTCGGTGATGGGAGCTTCTCTGGGTCGATTGGTCGCACGTTCCCTCTCGGGCGCTCCTGCTCGCAGAAGTAGCCCTCGCACGCGATGGCCATTGTCCACAGCGGCAGCGTGCAGTATTGGATACCGCACTCCTCCAAGATTGCCTTGCAGCACTGGTGCGTTTTGGCCACTTCTTCATCTTTGTTTTCCAGCTCTATGGTCAAGAGTCTGGCGCGCAATAGGCGCAACTCGACTTCCTTGGCGTGCAAGGTCATGTCCTGCGTGTATATAGCTGCGGGCCCAAATGCTTGCGGAGGCACTCGTGACGCGCGTTTCGCCTCGACCCCCGCCCGAAGGAGAAAAAAAGTGACGCATTGTTTTCCTGCTGCCGTCCCTGCGCGCGTCCCCCAGCGCGCGGGGCCAAAAACGGTCTATAAGGCCAATGATGGCTCTCAGATCAGGTCTCCTTTTGCTTCCCCGCGCGTCGCCGCTTGGATGGCTCGGCTGCGCTCTGCGGCTGCGGCGCAGCCTTGCTCTTTCGCTCTTTCGTTTCTTTCTTCGGCAGCTGCAGGCGCGCCGACTTCAACATACTGGTCCCTGCGGTCACGGCGCTCTTCAGACCGTTGGCGTCGAATGGCAGGGGCACCAGGGCCCCCGCAGGATCCCGGCCGAATGCAGCCACCGTCGCGCGCGCTGCTGCGAGCCACTCCCCTTGTTCTTTGACGGCGACCTCCAACTCTGCCACATTTTCACGGGGCAGCTTGGAACTGTGGCTATCCAGCAGCTTTTGCGCCTGCTGCACTTTGGGCTGTAGCAGAGCAACTGCTTTGCCCGCCAAAGCAGATGCTGCGGCATTCTCCCGCTCGCGCTTGGCCTGCGAGCGCTCCAATGCCCGCTGCTCCGCTGCGGCGCTCTTCCCTTTGCTTTCGCCCGCACTTGCCTCCGGCACGTGCCATGTGTCCGCAGACGCAGTAGATTTCTGGCTCTTCTTCTGGTTTGCTGCCTGCTCACGCATGAGCAGTTCTTCTTCGACCTCCTCCTCGATCTTGGCCCTGGAGATAGTCTTCGTGTGCACTTGGTACAATGTGCCCAATTGCGGGTCCTCCTCACAGGGACAACCGCGGACTCTTTCCTCAGTGTACCCTTGAGACGTCCAGTACGCCATGGGCTTGAAGGGCGCTGTGATGTCCACGGACGTGCGCATCATTGCGCGCTTGGCCATGCACTCCTTGAGCACGCCCCGCAGGCATGTCCAGGTGACGCGACCGTTTGGGTCTTTGGCCTGCAGGGCTTTGCTGAAGAAGTCTTTCTTTTCTCCGTCCGAAACTGTGGGCCAACCACCCATGTGGCGTCGGAGCATCTTGTCCGCGGCCACGCAGCTTCGGCACCAGATTTTGCGACCATCGCGCTTGCAGTCCGCAGACTCCTGCCCACAGAAGGAACAAACCATCTTCTCCATGGCCGCTACACAGACCGACGCGCGCGCGGGGAAACAATCGCCTGAGCCAACCAAAGCTACGAGCGAACACACGAAAATGCTATCGAACGAACACACGAAAATCACCGAATTCTCCGGAGATGTCCGGACATGTCCGGACACGTCCGGACACGTCAGGACATCTCCGGACATCCTCTCTTATTGGGAATAAATGACGTGCGTGTCGGGACCCTAGAAATGTGAAATCCTCCGGACAAATCCGGACAAAATCCGGACATCCGCGGAGGGTTTCACAGATGCACTTTTTCGCTTCGCGACAAGTCAACCCTGCGACTCACTTTGCAACAGGGTCGCCCCGCAGGCGCGAGAACTATAGTGCTGCTGCAGGACGTGGCACACACATCCGCAACAAGCACAATCGCCCAAAAGGCAGCTTTCGCATTGAACTTCTTTCTTTTCAACCGTGCCACAGATGTGCATGATCACGCGTCCGCAGTGCACCAGACCGCTTTGCGCAGACTGCACAAAAGGAATTTTCTGACCAGACTTGGTGTCCACCACCCACTTGACCACATCCTCCTCAGGTGCTCTGCGTGCGCCGGTCGCAGCCGCCGCATGCTCATGCTTCCGCTTCTTGTGCTCAGACTCAAAGTCGGGCAGGGAGTCATCGTCCCAAACACAAGAGCCCACAACGTTCATGGCTCCGCCCGGACGTTGCTATATACAACCACAGGCGCCGGCGTGGAAAAAAGTCTCGGACGCGCGATGATATATGTCTATTTGTCCGCGCCACTTATACGCGCCCATATATCTATATATATATATACACACCATTTCTAAAATGGTTGACCTGGTTTTTGTGACGTAACCCTTGATTTGGATTGAAGTATACTCAATTGTGGACATCCATATCGCTATATATTCTGGCTCGTGATATATACACCGCGCGTGACAAGCGCCCGCGTCGACGCGTCGCGCGCGCCAAAAAAAGAAAACTTTTCTCACAGTCCAAAAACCGTCAGCTGCTATCGCGGTCGCCGCTCAGTGCGCCGCGGCGCGCGTGTGGCGCAGTCCGTGTCAATACTCCTGTATTGCACGGAGCGTGCGCTCCCACAGGCTCGTCAGAAGACGCTCCCTCTCTCCCGGCCCGCTGCCGTCGGGTCCGGGTGGCGGGTCCTTGCGCTCTTGCCGGCGATCTCGCGGATCATCCGGCGTCGTGGAGCGGCGCGCCTTCTGCTTGCCCTGCTTGCCTTTGCCGCCCTTGGCGGACTTGCTCCGAGGAGCTGCCCGGGACTGACTCCGAGGAGTCTTCTCCGGATACGTATATCCGCTCTCCGCCCAGAGCTCCTGCGAGCGCTTCTCCGCAGTCTTCATCGCCTCCGCCCACGACATCTTTGGCTGCTCACCGACGAGCAGCCAAGCGATGTGTTTGGCGCTCCTCTCGTGCGTGGCCATGCCGCTGCGTCCTCCGCCCACAGATCGCCAGCACGTGCCGCAGTAGTTCTCGGCCTTGCCGCCCTTCTCGTCTTCTTTTCGGGCGGACGTGGGCGGCGACGCAGGCTCTGCCAGCACCCTGACGTCCTTGGAAGCGGCGGGCGCCCCCGCCTTGTCCGCTGAGTCCTCCGCAGAGGACTCTTCTTCTGAGGACGATGAGCTCTTCGCCTTTTCTGCGGCGGCTCTGGGCATCAGCTTTGCCGCCCTCGCGGTTGCGCCGCCGGAGCCCGCGGCCTCCTTCGCGTCGCCTGACTCCTCTTCTTCGACGCTCTCTTCCTCCTCCGACTCTGCGCGTCGTCTTCTGCGGTCGCGCCGCCTGTGTCGCGAGCGGCTCCTCTTCTTCCGCTCCTCTCGCTTGCGCGTGGCCATCGCCGCACGACCTGGCCGGACACAAAGAAAAAAAAACAAGAAGCGAAAAAAAGGAAGAAAACGTGCGTGGCGCGCGTCTGTGCGTGGCGCGGGCAGGGTTCGATTGTTGCGCGCCGCGGAATCCTGCCGAAGCGGGCCCAGCAGAGCTTTCTCCGAAGAGCACCGGGCCTGGCCTTCCTCCGAAGAGGTCCCTTTACGCAGAGAGGGCCCTGCGCTGCACGCCTGCGTCTATCTGGGCTCCCTCCGAAGAGGGCCCTGCGTGCCTCCGAAGAGGCTCCTCCGAAGAGGCTCCTCTGAAGAGGGCTCTGCAATGCCTGCCTCCGCAGAGGCTCCCTCCAAAGAGGGCTGCCTCCGCAGAGGCTCCCTTGGCAGAGGGATCCTAGCGCGCCAGCCTCAGAAGAGGCTCCCTCCGAAAAGGGCTTTGGCGCGCCTGTCTCCGAAGAGGTTCTCTCCCTCCCTCCGAAGAGGGCTCGCGGGCCGATGTGCTTTGCGCGCGCTGCGTGTCTGCGTCTGCGCGCGGCGATGGATGCGTGTGTGCCTGTGCGCGCGTGGGGGTGTGTCCGCGCGGCCTGTGCGCGCCCCGGGCCTTGTGGACGCGGCGGCGCGGGTGCGGTGCGGCCCTTGAGCCGCGCGGCTGCGGCAGCATGTCTATGTTCATGTTTCGTGTTTGCCTTTTTGTGTCATGTGCCGCGTCATCCACCTCGGAAAAAAACGATATATAGAGACTCTTCTA